ATGGCCTTTACCATGTTAAGGACATTACCTTCTATTTCTAATTTATTGAGTGTTTTTATCATTAAAAGGTGTTGAATTTTGTCAAAGATTTTTCTACATTAGTTGAGATGATCGTGTATTTTTTCCTTCATTCTATTAATGTGGTACATTATATTGATTCATCTTCATATGTTGCAATGAATCAAAATTTCAGTGTCCTTACATTCCAGAAATAAATCCCATTTAATCACAATTCATAATCTTTTAAAAATGCTGTTGAATTCAGTTTGCTAGTATTTTTTAAAAATGCTGTTGAATTCAATTTGCTAGTATTTTGTTGAGTTTTGTGTATATATTCGTAAAGTATATAAACCTGTAGTTTTCTTGTTGTTTCATCTGGTTTTATTACCAGGGTAATGCTGGCCTTTTAAAATGAGTTAGGAAGTATTCCCTCCTCTTCAATTTTTTGGAAGACTTTGAGAAGAATTGGTGTTAATTGTTCTTTAAATATTTGGCAGCATTCACGACCGGATAGTAGAAGCCATCTGGTACTGGGCTTGTCTTTGTTGGAAGATTTTTGATTACTCATTCAATTTCTTTACTAATTATAGGTTTATTCGGATTTTCTATTTCTTCTTGAGTCAGTTTTGATGTTTTTAGGAATTTTCCTTTTCATCTAGTATAATTTGTTGGCTGTTGGCATACAACAGTTCATAGTATTCTCTTATAATCATTTTTATTTATGTAAATAGGTAGTAATGTCTCTACCTTGCCCACTGTTTTTTTACAGAGGTACAAAAGCAGTTTATTGGATGAAAGATAGTCTTTATACAAATGGTGCTGGAACAATTAGACCATCCATAGACAATGAAAATGAACCTTGAGCTAAACCTCACATGTTATGCCAAAAAAACCCTCAAAACGGATCCTAGATTTAATTATAAAAGGTAAACTATAAACTTACAGAAGAAAACATAAGAGAAAAATCCTTGGGAACTAGGGTTTTGTGAGGTATTCTTAGCTGTAACACCAAAAGCATGGCTCATAAAAGGGAAAATTGATAAGTTGAACATTATGAAATTAAAAATATTGTTTTTAAATTAATTAACTAAAATCCTTGTTATTGGGATGAAAAGATAAGCTATAGACTGAGAGAAAACACTTGCAAACCACACGTCTGACAAAGAATTCATATCTAGAATATATAAAGAACTCTGAAATCTCAGCATTAACACGACAAAAAATCCATTTAGAAAACAAGCAAAAGACATGAAGCTATATTTCACCAAAGAGAATATATGGCAAATAAGCACATGAGAATATGCTCAATATCACTAGTCTTTCAGGAAAAGGAAACTCAGAACATGATGAGATATCATTACACATGTATCAGAATCTCTAAAATATAAAATAGTAACAATACCAAAAGCTGGTGAGGATTCAGAGGAACTGGATCTCTTATACATTGCTAGTGGGAATGCAAAATGGTACTGCCAGTCTGGGAAATAGTTTGGCAGTTTCTAAAAAATGAAATATTCAACTACTATATGACCCAGCAATTGCACTCCTGGGCATTTATCCCAGAGAAATGAAAATTTATGTCCACACAAAATCCTGCTCATGAGTGTTTATAGCAGCTGTATTCGTAGTAGCCAATAACTAGAAACAACCCACATATCCTTACACAGTGGAATGGTTAAACAAACCGTGGCACTTACTATGGAATACTACTCAGCAATAAAGAGGAATGAAGTTTTAATACATACAGCAACTTGGATGGGTCTCAAGGGCATTTGGCTGATTGAAAAAGACCAGTCTCAAAAGCTTACATAGAGGTTGTTGTAGTGGTTACACAAATCTGTACAGGTGATAAAATGACAGAAAACTATACACATACATTGTACCAATGTCATTTCCTGGCTATGATATTGTACTAGAGTTACATAAGGTACAGCAGTGGGGGAAACTGAGTGAAGGATGCACAGTACCTCTCTGTACCATAGTTGTAATGCCCTGTAACTCTACAATTATTTAAAATTAAGTTTTTTAAATGCCCTAAAGGAGAAGGTATGGCACTTTGACAACCTTTGATGGATAGCGGTTTGTTTTAGATGTGTATTGTGGTTATGTTTTTTAAAATGAGAAAGAAAGAGTCCATATTTCTTAGAAACATATACTATGGTATTTACGGGTGAAATCGTATCATGTGTTGGATTTGCTTTAAAAACCATCCAGTGGGGAGGGGAATTAGATGATGCAACAAAATCAGCCACATGCTGAGAATTGTTGAAGCTGGACTATGGATATATGAAGTTCACGATACCTACCTCTCCCTTTGTACACATTTGAAACTTTCTATAATAAAAGTTTTAAAACATACATGAAATAAAAATTATGAGCATTCCTCAGGACTCTTGACTACGAACAAGGTCCGGAGCAGGCCTTTGGCTCCTGCTGGCAAGCTAGGCTCAGGCCACTACTGCCAGGCTGGAGACAGGGTTTCCCAGGTCAGTTCTGGGCTTGGGAGTCCCTCTCACCATGCTGGGTGCTTCTTTGTCTACATTCAGCCACATGTATGAGGCTTTAACTGTATTGCTGGCCGTGGCTCTGCCAGGCCTCAGAGACCTTCAGGAAACTTGCCATGTGCCCATCCACTCATCCTCCGGGCCTCCATCTGCTCATGCATTCATCTCTCCATGTTTTTATTCACCTGTTTAGTCACCAGCTAGCCACCATTCATTCTTCCATCCATCCATTTACCTGTTTATTTAACATTGACTAAATGTGGACATCAATGAATGAGGCCTGGCTCCTGCCTGCCTTCAAGGAGGTCACAGTAGATGGGGAGAGTCAGGTCAACACGGTGTATAGAGGGTGCATGTTTAATGCCGAGAGAGTTGCCTGTTAAGGTACCTGCGGGTAAGAGAGAGGCCGTGTCAGTTCTTGGAGCAAGGGATCAGATGAGGCTTGCACAGAGGAGGAAATGCCGGAGGTGAGTCTTGAAAGTTTGTGTTTTCACGTATGTTGGACCCACCGTGATAATCCAGGATAATCTTCCCGTTTCAAGGTCAGTTGATTAGCAGCTTTAATTCCATCCGCAACCTTAATTCCTCTTTGTCATGTAACATAATAGATTGACAGGCTCCGGATTAGACGTTTCCACCTTTGGAGACGATTATTCTTCCTCCTACAAGAACAGAGTTCTGATGCACATCCATCTACGTGGAAACTCGACTGAAGGGCAGAGCAGACATTGTAGATCCCTGAGACCACTGACTGTCTTTACAGAAAAAATGAAATTGGATTCCAACCTCACACCATACACAGAAATAACTTGCAGGTGGATTAAAAACTCATATGTCAAAAGAAAAGCTATAAAACATCAAAGGAAAACATAGGAGAATATCTTTATGATTTTTGAGGTAGGGAAGAATTTCCCAAACACAAAAAATGTAAACCATATAGGACAAAATTGACAAATTTGTCTATATTAAAATTAAGAATTGTTCATCGAAAGGCACTTTAAAGAGAATGACAAGACAAGCCACAAACTGGGAAAAAGCTGTGACACACGTGGGAGACAGACTTATCCAGAATGGGTGGAGGGACAGTATGTGCACACATACATACATACATACACTCGTGTTTTCTACATTGATGATATAGTGAAGATAAGAAACTCAATAGCAAAATGGGTGAAACTCATAGACATCTCACATTAAAGGAAATATAAGTGACCCGTAAATGTAGATAAGATATTCAACATATTAGTAATCAGAAATGTAAAATAAAACCACAGTAAAATATCATTTCATACCCATTAGCTTCTCAAAAACTAAATTGTCTGGTAACGCCAGTCCCAAGAGTTAGCTAGGATGAGGCGCAATGGGAATATTCATGCACCGCTGTTGGAGCACGAATTGGTAGAATAGCTTTGGGAAACCATCCGGTGTACCTAGGACCCACTGGACGACCAAATGCAAAAGAATGAAGTTGGACCCTTACCTAACATATACAAAAATTATCTCAAAATGGACAAAGACCTAAACATAAGAGCCAAAACCATAAGACTCTTACAAGAAAACATAGAGGTTATCTGTGTATTACAATTTCATGAGGGGCGGGGAGAGATTAGGAAAACAACGTGTAAAAGGTTCCTCAGGGGGCAACAGTGAAAACAACGGGGACCAACACTGTCCTAGAGAGACTCTTGGGCATGTGCCCAGGTGTGTGTAGACGTGCTGTAGAGACAGCACATCGTTCATAACAGCAACAACACAGGAAACAACCCGCTCTGGATGGATACACAGAATGCAAAACACTCATAAAACACAAGACTGCGTGAGTGAACGTGAATCAGCTGCAGCCACACAAGCAGCTGAGTGGAAGAAGCCAGTCAGAGAAGGAACGCTACTGTTTTCCTTTATGTAAGCTCAAACCCAGGCCAAACGGGACAGAAACAAATGCTAAAACAAAGAAAAGCATGGGAATCATTTATAAAAAGTTCACACTTTTGGATATCTGTAAAGGAGAGAGAGAGGAATGGGATTGCAGTGGGGAATAAAAGAGGGGGAATTCCAAGATTCTGGTGATTTTCTTAAGCAGGGTGATAGATACCAGAACTGTCCATTTTATGAAACTGCAAACTATACACACTTGTAGATTTCATGACAAACTTTTAACATTTTCCTTAAGGGCCTTATCCTATAGCCGACACATTGCTAAACAGTTTTAACTGAATTCCACTGGAGGGGCTGTACGTGTTGCGCCGTGGCGAATACTTGTGTCTTCTTGTCTGCCGAGTGGCTGTGGCCCGAGCGCAGCGCAGGTGACAAAGCGCTGCCGAGAGTCGGCCGGTGTGCTCTTGCAATGAGGCTACACTTTTGCAGCATGGATGGTTGGAGAAGCTAGCTCCCCGACCCCTCCCTCCTCTCACAGAAGGAACGGTGGTCTTTTTCCGCATGCTCCCCTTCCGCCCTTTCAAGCCCACTCCCTTTGCAAGCTGCTGTCTCTCCTTCCAGCGATGCCCAACGGAGCTCTGGACACGGCTATCCACGCCGACGAGGCTGGTAGTGAGGAGGACCTGTACGAGGACCTACACGGCTCCGGCCACCACTACAGCCACCCTGGAGGGGGTGGCGAGCAGCTGGCCATCAACGAGGTAGGGTCACTGGTCTGCGGGTGGAAGGAGGGAGGGGCGGGACTGAGGGCCTGGCAGGTGTGCACAAGGGCTGCAGCGCGCTGGGCAGGCCAGGTGCCCACAGTCTGTTCCAGGCAAATGTACACAGCGCGGTTTCAGCCTGTGGCTCTCGCTTTAAGATGTGGTGTTAGAGCAGAGTTTGTCCAAACACAGGACTTCCCTGTGCGCTCCTGGGGTCCACAGAGAATCTGGGGGCACAGGCACGATGTCAGCGTGCTGACCTGCCTGACGAGGGAAAGCCATCCTGATGGCAGAGGCGCTGCCTGGTAGATGGAGGCCAGCACTTCCATGGTCACTCCAGCCCCCTGACCTCCAACAAGCTGTCTGGGCAGACTGGGGACAAGGCCGGTGAAAAGTAATTTCTCTGGTATTAACACCCAGAGTTCTAAAGTATTGCCGTTGCTATAACAACTGTGTGCAAGTTACCATTTTTTGCTCTTTCTACCTCAGCAGAAGAAATTAGTGAGAGCTCATCTGGGCAAAACTGGTTCCCATCCCAAGTTTTCCTTTTGCATTCTCTAAAAGGAGAGATTTTTTTTTTTCTTCTAGTACCTGCACAGTTTAATTTTTTTTATTGTGGTTATATATATATAACATAATATTTGCCACTTTAACCATTTTTAAGCATATAATTCAGTGGAATTAATACATTCTATAACCATCACCTCTATCTATTTCCAAAACTTTTTCATCATTCTAAACATAAATTCTGTACCCATTAAGCAATAATTTCCCATTGTTTCTTCCCCTCCGTTTCTGGCAACCTCTAATCTACTTCTGTTTCTGAATTTTTTTTTTTAAATTTAGTTTTTCTTAATTGGCCCATAATAATTGTATATATTTTGGGGGTACAATGTAATATCTGGGTACATGTAAACAGTGTGACATGATCATATCAGGGTAATTAGCATATCTATCACCTCAAACATTTGTCATTTCTTTGTGTTAGAAACATTTAAAATCCTCAAACTAACTGTTTGAAATTATACAATAAATTGTTACCTGTAGTCTCCCTACAATGCTATAGAACACTAGATCTTACTCTTCCTCTCCAGCTTCAATTTTGTATCCATTGACCACTCTCTCAAGGAGAGGGAAATTTTGAGGCTTTTACTGTCCTCTTTTTCTCACTCCTATTCCTATTTTCTCACCCTCTTTAATTTGGAGGGGGTTCTTGAACAAAATGGTAGTTTAACCAAATGTTCAGCACGAGCACGTATCTGCAGCAAATACCATGTTCTCCTGGTCATGAGATACTGGTGTGTTTCTGCTTCATTAAAATCAGGATCTGACAACCCAGGATCTTGCAGCACTCAGATTTTTACTCAGGAAGAGATCAATTTACAAGCAGGAGGCCTTTCACATTGCTGTGAAGGAAGGGGATGGTGGGGATCTTGGACACCACTATGGACGGACTGTGCTGTCCTCATTACCGACCCAGAGGAGAGGAGTCGATGGCCTGGCTCTAGATAATGACTTAAGAGTCATGAAATAATACTTTACCCATAAGTCATGATGCAGAGATAATAAACATGCAAATAAGTTAGTTATTCCAGCCAACAAAACCTTTCTCTTTATGTGCCTCTTGTAAGCTATTTTGGATGGAAGGTGTTCTGAAGTCATGTCATCTTCAAAAGTATTCACAGATAATGGTGTGCTTTTCCTTGAAGACTCGGGCAGCCTTCCCCAGTCATGGGGCTCAGCGCCAGGAGGGGGAGCCCGGGCATTGGGGCATATCAAACGTGGGTGGCGTGGAAGCTGGGCAGGGAACCGAGCATGGTTCCTTCGCTGTAAAGTAGAATGACCGTGAGGCTGTGTGAGGACGTGATAATAACGAATAATAATACCAATAATGATAATGAATATTAATAATGATGAATAATGAATAATAATAATGTACATTTATATGAGTTCTCCATAAGTGTCCATTGATGAGGATGATAATGAACAAGAAATAGTCACTGAAAGCTCTCAGGGTCTCCGAAGAGTTGAGGTCATTTGGCTGGCCTTAGATGCTGCATCGTTGGAGTTCCTGTGTCTGTGTTTTATGGTTGTAGGTCTTTCCCTAGTGGTGAAATTATGAACTGTTGCATCTTGCTGCTGGTGAGGAGGTGCCTTTTTGGACCCTCGGATCCTTGACAGGTTGTTCATTCTAAGATGCTTTGGCCAAGAACTGCTCTAAAAGAATGAACAGGCTCTGGCAAAGGGGAGCCTTTATGAGGAAAATGTGGATAATTTAGAGTAAGAATTGTATAAGCGCCTGTTTGGGCTGCTTAGAAAATTTGTTTTTTGTTTGGTCCTTGGTATTGGAGGTCACTGAGTAGACAGGGTGTTGCTGGTTTACCTTATGCATAGAGCGCTGAGTACTTTCCAGGGCGCTTGTCCTCCCTGCGCCCTTTTGTGCCCTTGGAAGGACATGCCATGTCACAGGGGAGGACAGCCAGTGCGGCTGAGGGAGCCCCTCTCCAGGTGTGCAGTGCTGCACAGGGTAGAGGTGGGCCCTGACTCGTTCGGTGTCTGCCAGACTGACTGAGACTTCTAGATCTGACATAGAAATGCCAAGAGACACTGCCCTGAAAGAGGCAGCAGGAGGGGCAGCCTGCCTCCCTGGGTCTGGTGGAGGCCCTGCAGCAAGCCAGTCCATTCTTGTGTGGTAGATGTGGTGTCTGGGCTCTCTGGCAGGGCTGTGGGAGCTTCACTGTGCCTGGCTCATCCTGGGTACTCAGGAGAGGTGGTGCCTTTTGTGACCTGCTGGAGGCATTTAATAGACTCACCTTATCAGAAACTCTTTGAAGAGATGTAAGAGGTGATTGTCCTATGATGGTCTAGTTCCCTGGCCTTCGGAAGGCAGCCACTTCCCACACAAAAAGGTTTGTTTGGGGTTAATGTGAGTTTTGTACCTGAAGATTATTGAAGCAACAGGTGTCAGAGAAAAGTCCTTACTCGGTAATATTTGGCTTGCTCTAAAATCACATATTCACTTGTATTTTCCATTGATGTGTGGGTGTCTTATTCTACATTGTGACACCTTTTTGTTTATGTTGACTTCAGAAGAGAAAACCACTTCTCAATCTCTTAAGCAGAAAGGAACCCATACTGTTCGGCCTGAAGAACAGTAGACACAGGGGAGACCAGCAGTTTGTATTATGGGTACATGAGAAGTGAATTTTTCCTGCACACAAGTGCACGTGTACATGTGTATGCACACACTGTCAATGAAGGTTACGGGTGTGATGCATGTCTGTTTGTGTTGCATGCATGTAACACGTCGGTACTGAGTACTTCACACGTGTCAGGTAGTGCTCCAGACACCAGGATACAGCTGTGCAGAGGATGCCACCTTGAGAGAGCTGGCCGTCTGGGAGGGGCAGGCTGTGCGTGTCTGGGGGCACCTGGATTCTTCCGTATGTGCTCTGAGCAAAGTGAGGAGGCAGCGCAGGACCTGCTCTTTCTGTATTCCTTGCACTTACTTGCGCCTTGCCCCTCATGATTATCCAGTCCCTGCAGGATGAATTAACAAATTCAGTGCCCAGAAGTGTCCCTCTTTTCTTTCAGCATCATCCCCTTTAGGGTCTCCCCAATGCCCATGGCTTAGTCTGGGTTCTGTCTGCCCAGTTCCTCACCCTTCGGCCATCATCCCTGCAGCCAACCTTAGCACAAGGACTTTTCTTGAAAAGATGAGGCTTGAAAGCAGGAAGCATCTGTCAGAGTGTGTCTTTAGAGGATGCTGTTCCCTTTCCACACCACCCATCCCAGGCCTGCTGCATCACCAGTGTTGCCAGTCCATGCAATGATGAGACAAGGGGAGAGGAGTGTGCAGTTCCTGCTGGGGAGGTCTAGGGTCTCCTGCTGCCCACCTCATGCCTGTGGATGGCAGCCTGTCCCCTCCAGGCAAGGCCACAGTTGAGGATTCCTTTCAGCTCCAAGCTCCAAGGGCCTTGGGAATTGGGGTCCCCTCAATGAGCCTGTACATAGAGCTGCTCTGATCTACCTGCTCCTGATCAGCAAGGGAGAGACCAGAGGTGGCTTCTGGATCATCCTGCTGAGAGGAGATGAAGCCCAAACTAGAAACAGACAGACAGACGTGAGTAGCTAGCCATAGAACTTGTCATCCAAACTGGGCTGAAAGCATGAAAGGGCTTGCCGTTAATAATTGGGCCAGCACTGCAGTGGGAAACAGGACTGGACAGAAGGCAGCCTCACCATCCTTGCCCTCCCGGCACTTCTTCATGGAATACCTAGAGGATGCTGCAGGACACAAGCTCTTGGTCGCCCATCTGTGGAGTCAGTCCAATCCTCTTACTCCAGGTGTCTCTGTCTTTCCTAAGCTCCTGTGATGCTGGACATCTGTCCTGGGCCTGACCTAGCTCTCGTGCCTCCTCCCCAGCTTCAGGGAGGATTCCGATGCCTATCAGTGCCCCAGACACTTTGTGCTTGCCCTTACTAGGCTGGACAATGATTTGGGCATAGGTTCTCTGTGAGAAAGGGCAGGGGCAGCTCCCAGTCCTCAGGCCCACCGCCACATTTGCCCATGGCTACAAGGTTGCCTGGTGGCCAGCACTGCCGAAGCAGCTTTCCTCTTCCCTCCATCCTCCCAAAGCCATGCCTCTAGGGGCTCAGCCATCATCTACCCCAGATGCCTGTATCTCCCCTCCACTTCCATGATAGTCCTGCCACCTTGGCAGGCCTGCAGACCCCACCCCAGTAGCCCAGGTGGGCCACCACCACTACTGCTGCCTCCCCTGGCCGTTCCCTCCTGGTTGCAGCCATCCAGCATGAATGCCTCAAGCACCTGGACCTTTGTCTTCAAGACTTTTTGTTATGTTTTGGTCATGAAACACAAAAGAGCTGTTGTCACAGTGATCCCTGCCCAGGCCAGAGGTCCTTCTGCCATACTCAGTCCTCCCCAGGCTGCCCTGCCATACATGGGACCAAGGCTGTTCCCAGAGCTGGGGCAGGGC